GGATCCGGTTGCTCCTATACACTGCAACGCTTACGTCACCAGCGATGAAATCTCTCGAAAACTCCTCTCTATTCCTATGGCAGGGATTACGAATATCTAAGTGGATTGCTTATCGGATATGGGACAAGTCCCTAGGCCTTTTTGTAGTCACGGCTCATATTGATACTTGGTTTATACACTTACACACCTGCATCAGTCCTCACTCCAACAGCGCACTCGTACGCGTCATTAATCTGACACCCATCCACTGAAACGATGCCTCGGACTCAAATTTACCTTATACTGTCGATTGAGAATGGCGCACCTCATCACAATTTTTCAGTTAATCCGGAGCACCTAACTAGCCTTCACCCATTTTGTAGCGCACCACTGTTCTCCAGACTACAGCGAGGCATCAATCTTCCAAGCTACTCATCAACGGGGTACACATTTCGATACACGTCCTTCTTTGAACTACAGTGCTTTCTGTACTATTTCATGCCCTGGCTATCTTACCCCTTCCTCGATCATGTTCATCATGTTGATATCTTTAACCCTTCTCCGTCATACGTTTCACGACAGCCTTGAGCACAACGCCACAGGCTTCGGTAGTCTTCTAAGCTACAGACAGCTTAAACCTCAGTTGTGGGTGACGCCTTAAACATACGAGTTTTGCAGACTGTTGTGTAGAACTGATCCAAGACTGAGACTGTATTTAAGAGCTAGTAGAACTGTACAACTCTATCGAATTATGAAAAATCAAACACATTTACTTGCGAATCGTCAGCGGTAGTGTTTGATCAGTTACTCCTTTATTCTTATTCGGTTATGAATTCGTATTGGTGTCATTATTTCTGAGCATTTGGTATATCTTTTGCATTGTATGTGCACAGTTTAACAAAAGCACAGGCTTCCGAAGCGTCGTTACGTGTTTTAAAACACTTCACAAAATCGACCTCTTTTAGTCCTTCTGCAAGTGTATTTCCTAATTTTACGATTGTTCATTCTATACAAAGCTGATGTGATACCTTGTTCATGCAGCGGACCCTGAATTTGTAAGGGTGTCCTCGGGTGTTACAGGGTTCCAGCAGGTGGAATATTAGCCGCAGTATGAGGAAATGATTCAAGTGTAGTACTCGATGGGTCATAATAAGGTCAGTTCTTACTCGGCGGTAGGACAGTGTGTATAGTCCGAGCCTTTCACAACCTTTTCCATACGGAAACTTTCGTAGACTGGGAATCATTCTTGTTGCGAAGTGTTGTATTTTCTCCAGCTTTTCCGTTTCCCACTGGGTTATCAGGTGGTAAGCTGGGGCACCTTATTCAGGCATTGGTCTAATGAGCGAGGTGAATAGGCGAGGGACGGTTTCTTCGGACCATATGGAAAAATTGCGTCTTAACGCCCAGAGCATACGAAGCCCCGCACGGTACAATTCCTCTATATTTTCTAGTGATCTCATATCATGTCGCGAGCACACTCCTAAGTCTGACAAATGTGTTAGGGTGGAGCAACTGGCCGTTCAAAGTGTATGATCGAGTGGCTCGACCTCTGGTGATACTGATGAACTTTGACTTGCTTGCGTTAAGAGGGAGTTGCATTTCAGTGGACCACATTGACAGTCGATCTAAATCATGCTGGAGGCGGGCGCAGTCGTACTGGTTCTCAATGATCCTCCAGATTTTCAAATCATCTGTGATCAGGGCACATTGTGACTGGAGCTGCTGCTGGAGATCGTTAATATGAATAAGAAATAACACTGGCCCAATTACCGTTCCTTGAGGCACGCCACTGGTCAATGGGAACCAGTCTGTCCGTCCAGACGCTCTGGGGTGCTCTCTAACTTCTCATCGTGGTTGTTCACAGAGCATTGTTCATTATCCGCCTACTTCTACGGGGTTGTGTTGCACACCTTTCAGATTAGCATATAGGACTGCGTGTATTTCAGCGGCTTTAGCGCATGATGCGTATGCTCACTCACCCGATTGTCTTGTATGTCAAAGTTAGCAACGTCTACTGCTGAACATGACGCCGTACACTGAAGTCACCGACCACTAACTTGAGATTTGCTGCGTCCTCTTGTCTTCCACGTTGAAATCTTTGCAATTCAGTTTTTCGTTATAGATCTTAGGCGGGATGACTCTTTCCGACTCCTTTAGCATGTTCACCGTCTTATCTAGCTTAATTTGTGCACTGCTGACGATTCTTGAAGGGATGAAACGACCGTACCGTGATTTCCCGGACGTGCAGTAGCAGTCAGACTGGGTGTGATTGTAACGAATCTCCATCACAAGTCTACTCCAAACCCTACATTGTACTACCGGTACTAGTTTACGATGCTATCGGACGATGGCCAATCAGCAACGGGAGTCTGGGTTCAGGGGACCAACCTTGTTCTCTATACATTGAAAACGTGCATAGCAATGGAGGATGAGTGTAGGCCATTCACAGCTATCTACTGCCACACATCCCACGTGGCCCGCTGCTATTAATCACGAACGCGTAAGCGTACAGTCGCTGGTTCTGACCCCACGGGTGCTAGGTGGGATGCACACTGATCACGGTTCCCGAAGGAATGTAACGACCACCTAGTGCTTTTCCGGCTGTACAATGGCTGAGTGAGTGTGTATATTTAAACTGTTTCTGCTGTGTGACTCGAGATAGTGCAAATCGCATGAAGACCATCTCGACAATACGGCATCTTCTACGCTCGATAACTAGTCGGCCGAAGGCCGAAAGACCTTGCAACCCAGGTATCACGGTTTCGAGCCTCGCGGTATCCTTAGCCAAGGCGCGACTGGTGGTTGTTACGTCGCAACGAGACGACAGTACGACGTACTGCTGAGTCCTTTTTTTTCTCTTGTGTAGTGTTAGCAATGTATCTTGTACCCTGACTTGATGTTTCTTTGCGGATTCAGCCCCTGTCATTAACTTGTTATCACTCATCTTCCTACTCAGTATTTTGGCCATTTCTCGTAATTTGCGTTCTCAAGGCAAAGAATCCCCAGTTGGAAATACTAATGTGTTATTATATTTGCTGCTGATAATGATGGTGACACGAGCTGGATTACATTCTTGGACTACTAGCTCCTCGATTAGTTCATGGGCGTCCAATCACCGCCTTAACATTCCATTAAACCTGCACATCGCATTCTTCGCTATGCCGACCATCTCACGCCTAAGACAGTTGCTTGATATTCTGCGGCCCTATTGCTTTTGTCATCTAACCTGATATTTGCAATCCCTCTCACCTTTTCCAGAGGACCCAGCTGAAGTTCCGAACGACGATAAAGCCCAAGAGGACAACGACTCTGAGGACGCTCGTTGGAACGGTGAAGTGAATGTGGATGCCGACCCAGATGAGTTGGATGAGGACGAGCTAGGCAATGATTATTGTCAGACCTATTTCGACAACGGCGAGGGAGATCTGAGCGATGACGGCCTAGGCGGAGATGATGACGACGCCGGTGCCCGCTACTATGACTGACTCCGTCCATCTTCCCACCTGGTTCCAGATATGTATATACCGACGTATTACCCAAGCTGTTTTATTCTTTTAGTGAGACAGGGTCATCACATTTACCCCTGCAAGCTCAGCCTTCACCTTGGTGAGACGTTAACATTGTGCCTTGTACCCTTTGTTCACCTCCCCCACTTATTCCCTGGTGCAATTGTGTTGCTTTGATGTTTGCCTTTTGTGCTCTCTATGCTATTGCCCCGGTGTATCAACAAAGTGAAAGCCTACATTTGGTGTAAATTAAAGCGCCGCATTAAATAAACGGATGATTTTTTGTAAATCGTTTGGAGTTTCGTCGCAGTAGCTTCGTGTGGATATGTGCGTTCAACCGCGAGACGTTTGATCGCCAAACCCGATAGTCTACGCGCGACCGCGCGTGTGTGAGGCGGTGAGCCACCCATCTGTCTCGGCTGACTGACCTTGGCGCGGGAACAATCAAACTAGGGACCAGGATACAACAACTCGTGTGCGTGTTTGTGTGTCACGTGCCTGGCTCATAGATCACTCCTCAAATGTGAGCGCCATTACCACAATCACCTCTCGGATAGACCTTGTTGCAAACAACAACAATGCCACGTATGCTCCTCAGTTCGGTGTATCCTGTTCTAACTGCATTAGAGCGTATCATCCGCAATGGGTAGGCACATGCTTCCAAGAAGTGAGGCAGATGAACAAAGTTGCTGATACATTTTAGTTTTGTCCAACATGTCACTCTAGTTGTCACCTGTTTATCTTTATTCATGAAGAAGTGCGGTAGATTGACTGAAGTAATCGCCCATTTAGTGAATACTAAGATCGCCCCCTCGAGGTAAATATAGCCACGCTAGTACTTCAACCAGGCAACGCAAGTTCCGCCTGTAAGCCGAAAAAGTGAGCCGGGCACTCCAACCGTACTGCTGCGTTTGTGTCTCTAAATCCTCTGCATCACCTCACTCCCTTAAGGGGACTAGCTTCAAACATCCTTGCTTCCACTCCTCAAACCGTGGACGTTTCACCTGGGGATTCAGCCATGACACCGACAGCTCATAGCCGGAGGCACTCCGGTGCAGAAAACTAGCAGGTAACGTACGCATCGGTTGCCTCGATAAATACACCGGGAGCGACACACGTAGGTCCATCTTCTTACCGATCACACCTGAGGCGACGCAGCTTTTACCGTCAACTCCAGTGGTGCCTTCTAGACAGCCCAACTTACCAGCAAGAACTTTAAAACCGACACTCACTGGACAAAACCACGCTGCATTAACTCTCGTGTGTACTAACTTTCCCGAGTACAAATTTGGCACAATAAGATGCAAGTTGCTAGACGATCACAACCAGTGGAGTTCCATCTGCGATGCGATTGGTATTCGGGTTGAGCTTACTATGCTGCGACGCGTAACGCATCACTCGACTTCAGTGCGCTCTGGTGAACCTCGAATTCTTCGAGTAACACAACTCAGCAGATCAGACAGAGGCTCTCCTGCTCTCAGCACTTCGTCTTCGCAACTCGCCGAGCTGGATGCGCAAATTGCCTAATCTTTGCAAAGATCGCCCAAAATAAACTGATGACCGATGCAACATTCTTAATATAAATAGCATGGAAACCATATTTGTTCATGGGGATCCTGAGCTTCTGGATTCTCTTGGTCACGATGCGCAACCACATGACCGAGAGCAATGGTGATACATTCGCAAAGCACTCTCTCTGGGCAATAGAATTGCCAAATCGTTGCTGAGGGTTCCGTCATCACCTAACTACAAGGGCTACTGTCCAATCCTAATGCAGTAGTATACTGCTCTCCGAGGGAATGACGCAAGTTCTATTGGATAGCTGGTCGAAGTTTTGAGCTAGGTTGCCAACCGAGATCCGGCTGAAGGCAGCAGGCGCACGGCCACGAGTGGTTAGAAATTCGAAGAAACTTGCAACCAATCTAAATTCTTTGCCTTCATAGTCCCACGGAGAGATCGACACAACAGGAGATAGCGCAGTACGAGTAAAACTTCTGTTTAGTGATACTCTACGATACCATGCACTTAGACTGAAAATCATAAACCCAAAAACGCTTAAGGGCCGGCCCCCTAACGGTCGGATTAAAAACAAACGCAAATTTGACATCCGTCAAAACAGTTAACAACAAAAACACCGTCCTGTTTGTTTACAAACGCCCAAGGCCTTGTAGGTAAGTTGGCCGAACTTAGAGAATACCTCAACCGCGTGACCTTGTCATGATTGCAGACACCTGGTTAAACCTTGAGAAAACCGATTCTGAGATTAGTTTACCCGGTATGTCGCTGCTTCGGGACGATAGAGCTTAAAGGAGTGGTGGATCGATTAAGTCGATCGATGTGCCCCTTGGGACTGTCTGCTGAGGAAAGATATGCCTGATAAATTACCAAACATTATCAAAGCGCTGTACGCGCGTAGGTCGAGCAGAGCTAAGGTTTATAGCAAACGATCACCGCCCTACAGTATCACCAGCGGAGTGACAAGGTTGCCTGCTGTCACCTTCTATATTTAACTTTGCAATTGACCAAGTCATGGAAACAGCATTCGATGAACACGATCTAGAAGATGTGGAACTACTTCCTAGTGAGCGACTTCTTGACTTGGAGTATGCGGACAATATTGCCCTAATCTGTGACAGCTCCCAAACATGCCAAGCAGCACTGGACCGATTAGCACTGGCTGTCTATCGTTTTAGGCTATGCTTTGCTCCATCGAAATGCAAAGTTCTCCATGATTGGCAAGGACCCACCCCTGCGCTGATCCTTGGTGGTGATAAGCTAGAAGTCGTTCAGGAATTCAAGTACCTGAGTAGCTATGTTAGCGCCCGTGGGATCGAAGTTGGGATTACGAATCGGATAGCAAAAGCTCGAGTTGCTTTTGCCAGTCTCCGCTATCTGTGGCTCAGACGCGACATTACTCTCGCCCTGAATGGCAGAGTTTATAACATAGCCGTTCGTTCAATCCTCCTATGTGGTTGTGAAAACTGTCCCATCAGGTCAACAGGCATAAAGTGGCTCGTCACATTCGATCATCGCTGCCTTCGCAACTTAGCTCATGTCTGGTGGGAGCACTGCGTGAGCAATGAACGTGTTAGACGTCGCGTATTTGGTGCAGGAAGAGCGAGTGAACCGCTCAGCACCATTATATCACGCACCAGGCTCCGATGGCTGAGCCATGTGTTGCCCATGCCAATACACCGACTCCCGCGACGTGCGTTGTTTGCGCGTCGGGGGTGCGGTTGGAAGATTAAGTGGGGAGGCCAACCGGTGACTTGGTCGAGAGAAATGAAAACCCTCACTTCGAAACTGGCCTCGTTTGTGTATCCCGACTTCTTTGCTGGGGTTTTAAGGACAATGAGCACGTTTGGTTGGACGCACTTGCTGATATGGCTAGGAACCGGCCCCAATGGCGTTTGTGCTGTGTGTTTCTTTGTCCACCCCCTCCAATCCCGATCTCATGCAAAACGCATAATATAATATTTAACATCATTTTTTTTCGTAGCGCAATTTGTGTCCTATTTTAATCTCTTATCTTTTTTATTGCGGCACATTAGCTGAGGTGTGATTCTCACTCAGCTAACGTGTACTGACAATAATCATGACGATGACAATGCACATCTCCAATGTGAAGTTATCGATCACCCGGAAATCCGCGCCCCTTATTCGCTTTGGTCTCGCCTATGGTTGCGGAACAAAGACACATGCCTACTAGCCGTAATTTACCGCTCACCACAGAAATGGACACCAAACTGAACCACCTCTTTCAGGTTGTTTTGCGCAAGTCTTACAGCACATTCTTGTCGCTGGAGACTTTAATGCGCACGACACGGAAACGCCAGCAACCGATGGTGAGCAGTTTAAGACCTACTTGCAAGAGTTAATTGCAAGCCACCCTCTGTACAACCACGTAACCTGCTAGCAAGCTGTAGATACTCGATCTTGTACTCACTGACACAGAACTCATGGTCGACGTGATAGGTACGAGCACGCCACTGGGACGCAGTTCTCAAGTTACTCTACTTCTTGACTACATGCGCTATGCGGAATATCCTGAAAAGGCGGATGATAATATGCCTACTGTCACGAACTACGTGTTATCCACGTTTGTTAAGGATACACCTTGGACTTTCTTAACCGGATGCCCCCCAGACGTCGCCTGGGATACGTTCACAAAGACGTTTAGCACACTGGTAGCGCACGCGTCGGCACTGAAATCCTTCCATCTTCAAAGGAAACGCAAGTCATTTCTGAGGAGCAGAGCACGTAAATGTATGCCTCTGAGGGATTTGGCATGGCAAGATCACAAAGACTGCCCGAATGCTGAAACCTGGACTGCATACCTGGCCCATCGTAACTTCTGTATGAAATTGATCTTTGAGGACAAGGAGCAGGAGATAATGCATCGAATCTGCACGAACCATGAGCTTCTGTACCTGCACGTTACTGATCTTCGTAAGGTGAAGCGGTTGATTCCAGGACTGGTCACGGCGGATGTGTGCACGCGGTCAGCAATGGAAGCAGCCGAACTCCTACGGCTTCATTACTCTCAAACGTTCCAGTAGATAACAAGCCCGAATATTCTCCTCGTTTCTCTTACTCCACTGTCAGGTTTACAAAACATCACCTTCACTGCGGAAGCTGTGTTGAAGTTGTTATCCTTGAGTATGCACAGTTCTCCTGGAGTCGGCAACATTCGACCGAAGGCTCTGTAGGCAGTAGATAGTGCTCTAACAGAACTATTGGCCGTCTTCTATCATCGATGTCTAGAGGATAACCATATTCCACCAGTATGGAAGCGAGAAGTCATCACTCCCATCCATAAAGGAAGTAGCCGCACTGACCCTACCAACTACCGTCCAATGACACTATTTCCAGTGCCATCCAAACTTATGGAATCAGTCATCGAGGTTGCGCTAATGTATTATCTGGAAACTCACAGCTTAACAACCCCAAAGCAACGCGGCCTCCGTCAAAAGCGTTCATGTACTACTAACCTATTAATTGTACGTAATAGCTGGACTGAAGCCGTTGATGATGGAGCAGGAGTCGATGTCATCTACCTGGACTTCTCACAAGCATTTGATCACTTAGACCATCGAACTCTCCTTTCGAAGCTTCGAAACTAGGGCATTGGCGTCCCAATCCTGAGTTAGCTTAGCAATTTTCTGCATGA